ATTATATTATTTATAGTGTCGTAGTGAGATTGTGTAGTGATTGCTATTTCGTTTTTCATGTTTTATGTTTTGAATTTTTATGTTATCTTATATTAAATTAAATACAGAAATTAAGAAACACACGTTATAAAATGTCATACACTGAATATATTACATTATGTAATCGCGTAACAGTAAAATTAATCAATGATATGCTTACTTGAAATGTCGCTTTGTAACAAATATTCGACATACGTATTGTTTGCTTACGTTTGTACTAAAGATTTAAAAAATTATATTAACTACTTGCCTACAATGTTAAAGTGAAGAAAGAAATTTAAATATTGAATTCTAGTGCCATCTATGAATGAATATTGGAACATTATTACATATTTCCTAATTATCATATTCAGATGGCGTTGCTTGACCGAATCTAAAAAAATGTATTATACTGTCAAATTAGTTATATTTAGATCATAATGTTCATGATAAATATTTTTGCACTATAATTCAAAACTTTCAACGTTATGTTTGACACATGAAATATAGATAAGATAAGATTAATGAAGAAAAAATTATAAAATATATTAAATTAACCAATAGAAACATAATTTTATAGTAATGACAAATCAAATAAGGGAATTAGATAATTTTCCTTGCACGATCAAAGATTTTGTTTATTTGTAATTTTGACACATTGTTATAATCCTGGTTTACAAAATGTACATCTGATACATTTGATGATTTTCATTATATTCTCTGCTGAACACATTCCCTTCTTATATTCCACATATTGATATTAGGATTAATTGTAATTATTACTTGGAACATCTGTATTTCCAAAGTTATTCGTAACAATACGTTATCAAATTTAAATTATTTAGTTAGATTTGAACAAATAACTTCAGAACCATGTTATGAATACAAATTAGAAAATAATTTAAAAACTTATTGATAGATAAAGTAGCTACTTAATTCTTGAAAAAAATTTTAACCTTTACAATTCACTTTGTGTCAATACTCTCCATTTTCGGTAGCATACTTTCTAGTTCACCTGACTCATTCATCTCTTTCACAATGTCCAATCCACCAATTAATTCTCCATATAGATACAGTTGTGGATACGTTGGCCAATTACTAAACTTTTTAAGTCCTTCCCTAACATCATTATCTTGTAATATGTCGAACGATTTGTAATTTGTCTTGTAACTGTCTAGGATGGAAACAATCGTTCTGGAAAAGCCGCATCGTGGATTCTGCGGGTTTCCCTTCATGAACAACATACAAGGCGCTTGGTTTGTCAGCTTCTTCAGTCTATCCTCGAGAGATTCCTTCGACTTGATTATATTCAACAAAGGGGCATCCTTGTTATTCAAATGACGTTTGATTTTCTCAGTCAATTCAGTGGCATTGACACCATCCACCCTGTCTATTATGCCACTGTTTCGCAACAAAAGGACAGTGGGAACAACAGCTACTCCGGACTTCAGAGATACCTCAGGTATATTCTCCGCTTCAATCTTGGCGAACTTTACACTTTTATACTGGTCCAACTTTTTCATCTCCTCGAGCACATCATTTACTTGGGAACATTGCTCTGCCCATGGTGCGTGAAAGTGAACGACGGAGAGTTCCTCGGACCTTGCGTAATAAGAACACATTTATGAAAAATTACAGAAGATCAAAGAGCATTCACCACAATCATATACTGATAAAGTCATTATCATGCGATATTAAAGTTCGATTGAAGAAATGAAAATAATGACAATCATGTTACTCTTATTTTTTATCAAATTTATTATTTCAAAAATAATTGCTTGACGGTAAAAATATGGATATATAACTGTCTCTTCTTAATTAAACTTGTAATAATTACATTTTTAAACAGGTTATTGTTATCATGTATGACATGTATTTATTTTAGTGGCAACGTGCGAGACAAAATTATAAATTTGCCGTTGTATTATTGTTACAGAATTTTCGATTACTCACTTGACGAAATCGTCGAAATCTTGCTGCGTGGCTAGCTCGGTGACAGTCATCGTGTCACCCTTGTATATCGCGTGGTTTTCTATAAAATAATACACAATTCTACGCCGACTCCTACCGACAGCAAGCGCGTCTACGCGACCTCTGGCACTACGCTGATGGCTGCAAACTTTTTCGAACGCATGATGTCGCTTCAGTGCAGTCATGCGTTGTTTCCGTAGAAGTTCTAGAAAAATGCAGTATCGTGAACGAAAGAGGTAATGAACAAAATGCCAAAAAAAATCCGCTACAGTTTGAAACTTGAAGCTTAAATGAATTACATATTCGTTATTTGTAACATTTATCTTAAATTTACTTGGATTAAGATTTACTTTAAATGTGAAGTCTTATTTAAGTCTTGTAGGTTAATTTCAAAATTTAGCATATTTTATTATCTACAATTTCACTTTTTTCAACTTTCAGCAAAATAATAAGCTTGCGAAGATTTATAAGAATATTCTGATACATTCAAAGTTTCGAATTACTGAAACAGTAGGTTATATGACTCGCTCTCAGTTTTCAGTTAGCTGAAAAAAAACTCAACAAAATTTAATTTTTTTAATTTGTTCAAATACATCATTATAATTTTTTATCATGAAAACTAACATGTTATCTATTTTATATTATTTTTTCTGAACTTTGCTTCAAGAAAATTAATTCTAAATTAGAATCTGATATTAAAATTAAAAACACGAATTGCAAAATATTCTATATAACAAAGATTCTGGGAATATTAGAATTCACATTTTGTGTAAAAGTAAATATATATATATATAAAGATATACTAATATACAAAATTATTATTACAGAGGGTTTGCATCTCATTCGAGACAGACCTGGCGCACACAGGTGCACCACGAGAAAGT